TACCCAAAAAAAGGTCGATAAAAAACTGATTTTTTCCTCCACAAAAAATGACTTTCGTTGAATATTTGAAATTGTTTTGAATTTTTTTTGCAAATCCAAATTCTACTTGGAAAACGTAACCAACACTATTAAAAAACATTGCTTATTTACCATCACATTTGTTTTGTAATTACGGGTTGTATGTAAAATTGAGTCGGGTAATGTTTCATGTATCTGTATCTGTACATCCTCTCGAGGAGTTGTCCTTCTAGGTCATCGTCCATCCTGGTCTTTCCAGGAAGGTGGACAGGTCACTGGAGACATCTCCTTTATATCGGCAGGTTTAGGCCAAGACTCGCCGAACAAACACTCTCTTATTGACGATAACTCCGGACACTCGCATAAGACATGCCTGACAGTTTCGTCTTCATGTTCACACATCCTGCATAGAGGTGTGTCCACTTGCCCCATAATATGGAGGTTTTTCCTTAGTTGACAATGGCTAGTCAGAAATCCTACTGTCAAGCGTAGGTTTTTCCTAGTCATCGCCAGATATTTCTTCGGCGCCACTTCCCAGGGTCGCCCAAGGTGTTCCTGGCAAAACTGCATCCTTTGATTCCATCCCATCTATTTAGGGATTGAGCGACGTTTGGCTAGTTTCGCACTTGTCGAAGTCATCAGGCCGTAGGTGTCACTGGGTCCTAAAATTCTTAGTCCAGCCGCTTCCTTGGCTAAATAATAATAATAGCTTTATCGTCCAACAGTTACCCATTTACAGTATAATATAAAATTTTATTCACAATACTTAACCATAAACGAAAAATAAAAACAAAAAAGAAAAACTAATTCTAATTACCTACTTCAAGTACATGTTAGCAATTCTAATAATGTTGTGAAGGTTAGTGAAGAATAAATCACCATGGGCACAAATGCTATTGAAATTTGTGTACATAAAATATATTGGGGAATTGCTCTGAGAGGTCTAAAAATGGATTGAGATCGTGAAGTTAATTTGTTCAAGAATTTTAGGACAGTCAACTCTCTCATTCACTAACTTGAATAAAAATATGAGCGACGCACATTTTCTGCGATTCTCTAATAAATTAAAAAGTTCCAAACGTTCATATATGACATCATTACTGATACCTCTCTCAGGGTAAGAACCATCTATTCTGAAAATTGGAAATTTACAAAACTTTCTTTGAACTCTTTTAATGGCTATGTTATGAATCTCATAGTATGGACTCCAGACGATACTTGCATATTCTATCTTTGAACGTACGTAGGTGAAATACAACAGCTTCATGGCTTTAATATTATGAAAGTTTATGGGTCTGTAATTCTCTATATATGATTTTTCACCACTTTTGTATACAGGACATACTTTAGCTAAGTTCCAAATATCTGGGAATGTTCCAGATATCAGACATAATTAAAAATTCTCGTTAAAGGTTTTGCCAATGCTCCTGCACAATCCTTCAACAAAAATGATGGGATCATATCTGCCCGCCAGTCGCGATGGAATAATCAATTTCTACGGTAAATCAGGGGGCAAAATAGGCTGAAAATTCCTTCAGATTCGTGATCAAGATCCCCCAAATTCCTACAGGTACACCTTTTTCATGAAAAAATATCTTTCCTAAAAAAATATCAGCGCTGAAAAATCCAAATTTGTCTCACTTTTCATGAAATCACCCTCGTAACTTCCGTAATTATCAAGGTGAGTGAATCTATTCAACCCTCCACCGCAATCTGCAAGGGTTTATTGTGGCTCATACCTATTCACACTCGATCAAATAAACCCAGCTTCTTAACGAAGCCGATTAGTTTATATGGTGAGTGGTCTTTCAGGACAGATGGTAAGAGTACGGCTCTGCCGAACTCTAAAAACCTGATTCGGTACCCAGCGGGGCAGGTACAAAGTATATGCTCTGCTGTTTCATCGTTAATGAGGTATAGTCTGATAGTCAAGGTGCAAGATTCCTACCTTGATACCCGCGACAACCTTCCCATATGAGGGTTTTTGCACGTCAGCTACATGATGCCTTTGATTCACCCGTGCAGGGCTTTTTTGCCTCTAGTTTTGGTTAATCATCACGCTAACGTTTGCTAACCATGCTCTTGAGGAAACGACTCAGTCGTTTCCTGGCTGCACCACCAAACATTTTTTTAGGTTCAGTTATTGGATAACGAGTTGGAGAGTTGAGAAGCTCTCGCTCCTGATCTAAATTTACAGGGAGGTCAGTTGGAGTCGTGAGCTCGACATCCATCTCCTCTGTAGACTCAGCGTCAGAAAGAATTTTTAAGTATACTCTGTCCATAAAAGTCCCACGAGTAGCTAGGGAAAGAAGGTCAATCACGGTAGAGCCCCGCATTACCGTGACAAGGCGATGCTACGACGAGAGGGCACCCGGTATCTCGATGGTTCCGTAGAGACAGCTTATAGGCTCAAGTGTCATTCATCCTCTCGGTACGGATACACACATCTTAGGATTAAGTTATCGTTGGGATGCCATTCAGTTAGGCAATAACAAGTGATTGTGTCATTCCCGTATCCAGCGGGGCTACGTGGAAGCAGGCATCCGATGGTCGGTTTGCTCAACCCCCACATCCCATGCCAATGCACTCGCTAAAAACTTTTCATGGAAGCACCCCTGTAACTTCCGTAATTATCAAGGTAGAATGATGAAACTAGTACGATTGATGAATATGCTAAAAATACACTTACCGGCTAAGTCTAAGTGATATACACTGCCCGCCATTCGCGATGGGAGAATCCATTTTTACAGTAAATCATACTAGTGGGCAAAATAGGTTGAAAATTCCTTCAGATTCGTGGTCAGAACCCCAAAATTACTTTTTTCCTGAAAAAATATCAGCCCTGAAAAATCCAAATTTGCCTCACTTTTCTTGGAAGCACCCCCGTATTTTCCAAAAATGTTTACTTTTCACCTGAACCAATAATTCTGATGGAGAATAATGATAAAATCTAAGCATTAGTTCGTGGAGCTCTCAGTTTAGAAATAAATCAATTCAACCAACAGAAATACCTATCTACTGAAAATGTTTTTTCGGGAAAAAATCATTGTATTTCATAAACTCTCTATCTTGATAATTACGGAAGTTGCGGGGGCACTTTCATAAAAAATGAGACGCACTGTATGTTAATATGTTTTATAAATTGGAAAATAGAAAACATACGAGGGATGTATAACATATAAAAAATTACCAGTTTTTTAGGGGGTGATTTGATACCTTGTAAAATGAATGACTTTTGTAGTACTGAAGTAAAATGGGTTTCAGTCTAATACCGTCAGTTGCAAGTTGCAAGTACACGTGAAAATTTCAGAAAAGTGAAAACAACAACTGGAGTGAGGTGTAATTTTCCAAAAAGTCTTGTACTACTTTCATAAATCTCGATACTAATTACGATTGGAATATTTCCTAACCAAACGCCAAAAGTGGGACTGGAGAAGAGAAAAAGTAACGTATATGTGCAGAGGTCATAAATTTTTGTATGGTATTTATAAAATTTGTTCTTTGTTTCAACAATTGTCATTTGTATGGATATGTCGTACAAAGTATTTGTTGCACGGGGTGGTGAAGATAAGATCAACCCTCTACCGTGTAGTCAGAGTTGAAGGTCATTTATTCTTGTATGGCATCGACTCCAAAATATCAGGGATTTCAATTGGCGTTATCACTTTGCATAATTGTGATGACCTTCGAAGGTCACTCAAAACTTCACGACGTTTTCGAATTATCATCAACAATAACAAATAATGATAAGAACACAAGATAGCGTATAATTTGAATTGCACATGAATTGATTATTGGACATACATATAGAAGTTATATTGTTCACTTTGTTGCTTATTTAAAAAATATTTTGAAATACACAAACTGTTCCTTTGAAGCGGGGCAATACAAATAAAAAATGGGCACCCCAAGGAATAATAAGACCTTCAAGCTGTGTGAAGTAAAGAAATACCTATACAGTGCTCTGGAAACAGTCAACCAAAAAGCTTGGGAAAAAGAATCAGAATCGAAGATGTGGGATCTGGATGATCGCATAATTAGCGGCGTCCTCAAGGGATATAAAGGGTAGATATATCTCAATGATTTTGTGGGTGAATTGCAGTGCTATTTGTTCAAGACGACCATGTTGCTTTCTTTGATGTAGCGACATGTTTGCATTCTTGGAATTATTTTACTCTCAGACAATACTGAACGAACTATAGCTTTCATGTTGTATAGCTTTTTATTCAACACGCTTTCGAAATAAACTGAAGAATATAACGACTAACCCCCCTGCCATGGCCTTTAAACTCCCAACAGAAAATGTAATATTTTCTTCCAATGGAAAAAGCCGAGTCGGTCCTATTGATGAGTTCAATGAGTCTGTTGACGGTATAATTCAAAGGAATATCTATTCATACCGCCTTTGAAAAAAACAATGATTTTTCAATCCCCTTCAACTAAATACTTATTTGTTGGAGAATGTCTTGGTTGAAACTGGACATATTTTCACATTTGTCGTATATTGTTGATTTGTTATTTTGTTTGTTACGAATGTGTATTCATGAATGTATTCAATTCGTTGAGAGTAAATGATTTGAATGCAGTACGCCTATGACACTAATATATGTAAATATACTGATGTAGTTTCTCCCATTTTTGGGCAGACTGTAACAATCTATTGTTTGAACTAACCAGTTATTAGTACATGTATTCCTTCCCGGGCCTAATTTTAATTAAGTTGTGAGATTTATCTTCACATCAAACACATAGTTGAATATGTTTACGATTGATGAAATTTCTATTTTCAGTAATGAAAAAAATATGTTTTGATTTTCAGCTATTTATCGAATAAGTAACAGCACGAAAAAGTATCTGGTTTGAAGAGACTGAACATGGATTCTCGATATATTCACTTCCATCTAAGAAACTGAAAAATCACAAAAAAAGATTTTGTCCCCAAATCGAGTAAGTTTATTGAAGGAATAAAAAACTAACTAAAGTGCGTTATCAGAGAATATAGATATGGCAACGTGTATCGTGATTGGTGATGTCATTTTTATAATATTCTGGTTTTGCTTTTCAAATTAAAATTTTCTTGAAGTGTTGCTTGTTGATAACGAATTGATTCGAAAATAATATGATTGCAGTTATTCATCAATGAGAATGCGATTTCTGTGATACACATTGACACTCCACTGGTTTCAAATGATAACACAAATAATTATAGCTAGATAGTGCGTGTAGTAAGCACATGTAATCGCTTACTCAATAACTGAACGAACAAATTCAATGTTTTTTGGTAGATGTTTTCATGACCAGTCCTGTGTTTGTTTCACGGTTTTCAAGAAGTATTGTACCGGCGGAAATGGAATTTGCAATTGGTGGTGCTGCGGCAATGGGTGCTGGTTTCTTCACGAATCCACTGGAGGTTTTGAAAACTCGAATGCAGTTGCAAGGTGAATTGAAGGCTAAAGGTCAACACGCCGTTCATTATAAAAATGTGATTCACGCAGGATATGTAGTTGCTAAAAATGATGGAATATTAGCCCTTCAAAAAGGTTTGGTGCCGGCACTGTGGGTACAACTATTTTTGAATGGAATGAGACTAGGTAGGTGAGTCAAATTCATTTGATTCTTCAGGGCTATGTCCCTCAAATGAAAACTTATTGAGTAACCTTTCTGGAATGTTTAATTTTTCTGGCAGTCTTGGTGTTCTGACATTGCAATAATAGAAAACTGTCATTTACTAACGCTGTTTCAAAAACGTCACTTTCAGTTCCTATTTATATGGATTTCAACATAAAAATAAAATGTATGTACAGCTTGTCAAATCTAGGAAGAGACTTGAGAATTTTTTCTCTCTCTCTCTCTCTCTCTCTCTCTCGCTCTCATAGTCTTCTAACAAACGCACATCTAGTGGGCGGGACGATAACGGAATTCAGAAAGCTCTTCCTACATTTGACAAGCTGTATATCAATTGTTGCTGATATAGTAATTCTTATACAAAAATTATTTGCCATTTAGTTGTACCATTTAGAAAAATGAGTCATCGAGGTAAATATTTTTTTTTAGTTTCATTCGACTATGCTGAAGATTTTGATAGAGGTATTGTTAGTCATTGTATATTGTTGGTTGTACTCCATTATGTAGATATTTCTAATGAATATTGTAATCTGATACAGTTTTATCTTAGTAATGGGTCCCTCACAATAGTTCTAGAAGGTTGGGCTTCCAATTGTGCTGATATAATCTGTGAAGTTCCGCAAAAGTTCAATATCGGTCCTCTGCTTTTCACTATACAGGGCTTTTCATGATGAGCGTTAATTAGCCTTTTCTGGCAAACTATTCAACGGATCAACCTGAAAATTCCACAGTATGCATAAGTCAATATGACCTAACAGGTTGATCCGTTAAATAGTTTGTCAGAAACGGCTAATTAACGCTCATCATGAAAAGCCCTGTATACATATCATGGTTTCATAAATATCGAAATTACTTCACTTCACTTCACATGATGATTTGTAATTTATCTCGAGTATTCTATTCAAAAATTAATTCCACCAAATCTAAAACACTCATTTTTGGAAGTACTTACTCGCGGTCATGTAGTACAAAATGTGCATTCACATATATGATATTTACTAATACATCTATTATAATACACGACAAAAACCATAATAGAAATGCAAATTTTAAATGAACAGTGAGTAATAAAAAAACACTTTTATCTAATCAGTTTGTATATACTTTAAATATTCTTAATGGAATCGAAGCAAATTTTACAGGAGAGCCTACACATGGTGACATATGAAAGGGTATATACAAATTTCACTCATATGGAACTACATTCTCGCACTAGATTACGTTTTTTGTTTTTTTTTTCTCAAACGATTCCAGAAAAAATTAAAACTAATTTGGAAATTTTCGGTTTTTTCCGAATATCTCCGGAACGAATTGACATTTTTTGAATTATGAAATGTCTTAAATAAACTCTGAAATGAGTAATTTTTTCCTAATTGAACTTTGTTTACACGGTTTTCAATTTTCCGATTTTTTTTAATTTTTCTACTGTTGGTTAAGGAATTCCAAAACAAAAAATTTTTCCAAACACCAGTACTGAACTATTTTTGGTTTTAAAAATCTTGATATTTCTTAACGGAGAAACAGAAAAACATTCATTTACAACTCAATTGATTATTGTGTTAAAAATTGTTTGAAGCCAATGTAGCAAAAAATTTTTGTTGAATTCTTCGTAACAAGTTGAAATAGCGAATTGTATCGCGTGAACTCCAGATAATAAATACCTATAAATTATTATTGAAGGTAAGAGCTTTGCAATGCCATTGTAAAAAAAGTTAAAATTTGAATTTAAGAGAAGTAGGTATTAAACAAACCGACAGCTAATATTCGGAAATATTCAAACCTCTCCCCGGAAAACTAGATTTTTTAGGAAACCAGCTTATTTAACATTGGGATATTATTTCAGGGACATATCAGTTTGCAAATAATAGAGGAATGGTAAAGGATGTACACGGAAATGTGATATTTTATAAAAGCGTCTTGGTTGCTGGTGTAGGTGGAACTTTAGGCCAGCTTTCCTGTAGTCCATTCTTTTTAATAAAAACTCATCTTCAAGCACAAGCTACAGCTTCCATTGCAGTTGGGCATCAACATCATCATAATGGCCTGTGGCAAGCCTTGAAGACAATTTATGGACAGCATGGGGTGAGTAGAATCATTTACAAAATTCAGAGTTGAGTAATAAAAATAATAATAATACGGAAATATATGCACAGAATGTCCGGAAATTAGTTGACAACTCAGTAATTACAGCTATAACTACCCTTTCACTTCTCATTCTTCACTTCACTCAGTTTTTAACCATTCACTAAACATTTTTGAATTTCCCTAGATTTTTTCAAAATTATTTTTACAAATTTCAATATTTTTAGAATATGTGTCTATTATTAGTTTTATCAAGTGAGAGTATCATTTTTCGTACCCTTCGGTATACTACAAAATAAATATGATACGCTTTCGTTTTAAGGAGAAGGTTCAACCTCTGGATCGCCATGTTTTGGACGAAAACTTTTAACTCTAGGGTCCAAAAACCTCCAAAGGTCTTTGATAAGTGTTTGGTAATGAAATATAAATAAGGAAAAAGTCTAGAAAGATTATAAATGCAGTAAACACATTTTCAAGAAATACGGAAGATAAATTATTTAGAGACTGGATTTAATCTGATACTCAATCGTTATAAACTGTAAAAATTATATCAGAATAGCAATAACTGTTAAATAAACACTTTGATTCTGGAGTCAATAATCCATATATCATTCAAATATCAAACAGCCCTTTTAATTTTCATTTTGCGTTTCATCCACATAGTTTGGAGATTTTGGATTAAAGATCCTAAATCAGAGGTTCTCGAACTTATTTTGTCTACCGCCCCCCAATTTTTTTTACTTTACTAGATCTTAAGAATCACAATCGCAGTCATTATTTTAATAAATAAATTATGTGCGTCACGTGAAAATAAAACTTTCTGATGAGGGTAATGTAAAACACCATTTTGTAATATTAGGAAAACTTTTATTCATGTTATTGAAATAAACATTTCAATTTGAATTTTGAAACTGATCTAATGTGAAGGATGAATTTGATGATTTTTAACAAGTTTGTTAATATCAGGCTCGAAGTTACTCAAAAACAGCCGTAAGTCACCGCGGTCGGTAATGTGCAACCGATTTCTCTTTTTAGTTATCAACGGTGCCACAGCACTAAATCCACGTTCACACAAATACGATGATGGGAATGCTATCAAAAATCGTTGAACGATGGACCACAATCCAGGGTACAATTGCGGGATTGGCGTTTGTAGCCGAAATTCTTGGTATCCTTGGTATCTATTTTTTAATTTTATTTTTATTTCCTCGTTCGTGATCAGTTCTATGAGTTCTTCTTCCAGCTAGGGTGATCCTGCTGTGTTGACATTTGAAAAAGGATCCAACGCCCAGTCTGGTTTTTCCAATTTTAAAATATCCTGGAATCGTTCTGCGAATTCACTGTGGAGGCTCTCCAAATATTGGCAGTAAACAAGCAACTCGTCGTTGTTGAAGGATACTGCTGACAAATTAGGGAAATTGCGAAACTCACGTCTGCCGATATTATTCTTGTATAAGAGCAATTTGGCTACAAAAGCAGCAATAAAATTTTTTGTTTTAATCAAATTCAAGTCGTCACCTTGAAGTTGGAGAATTACATCAGTAAATAATTCATACAGATCTTTCAAGTAAGCAATATCATTCTTTGAAGTGATGAGGTTGTCGTGCAATTCTTTGTCTTTGTTTTCCAAAAACTCTATTACAGAGTCAAATAGATTGTAAAATCTAGTCAAACAGTTACCTCTTGATAACCAATGCACTTCTGTGTGAAATAGCAATCGGTTGAAATTTTCATCATTAGCAACACAAAGCGGATTAACTAATCTGTCATTTAAACAGCTGTTTCGAATTTTATTGACTGCTTTGATGATATATTGCAGTGATTGAGAGAGGGGCTCACCCAAATTTTTCGCAACCAAATGTTGACTATGAATGACGCAATTTACAGCGAGCACATCTGGAATTTTATTTTTTATAAGTACGCTATGAAGCCTTTGTGACGTCTTGTCATAGCCGGAGCGCTCTCCGTAGCAGCTGATATAATATTCTTCAGTGGAATTTCTTTCTCATCACAAAATTTTTCCAGCGTATTATATATGGCTTCACGTTTTCTATCCGTCTCTGAATTTCTGGCAAATAGTAGTTCTTGGTATATTTTCTCATTTTCAATAAACCTCACGTATGACAACAACAATGCTTCATTGGCTGGTAAAGTGGACTCATCTAACTGAATTGAGAATTTAGAAGTCTTCAGATGATTGCACAATGACTCTTTAATGTTTTCAGCCATCTCATCAATTTGTCTTTGCACGGAACTATTGCTCAAAGGAATTTTTCAGATAATATCTGCAGCTGGTTTATGGAGCACAGTAGTTATTACTTTTTTTATTGCTGGTAAAATTAAATCCAGAGGTTTACCTGTTTGAGCAATTAGCAAGAAAATATTGTAGGAAGCTCGAAGTCCGTCGTCGTCTTGCTTAGAAGCCGCTGAAAAAAGTTTTGACACCATTGGCTGAGCTGAGTGTTTCTTTTCCAGTTCTTGAAAATAAGTCACACTTTTGTCTTTTTTATCTGAATTCATTTTCTTCAAATGATCTTGCAGCCTTGAGGGTTTCATCGCTTCATTCGAAAATGTTTTTTGACAAAGAAGGCACAAAGGCGAAGATGGATCTGTGGGATTTTCAATAAATCCATATTTTAATTATTCCGCGCTATACTGTCGTTTCTTCTTTTTTGCTTCCAGCATAATTTTGCCGGAATGAAGAATAGAGTAATAAAAACTAGCTAATGACACCACTCACAGTATCCACCACCACACGTGCAGCACTTTACCTAGCTATTCGCGGGCGGGTCTAGTACATTCGAGAATGGAGACTAGAAACTTCTCGCTTCGCATTGAAGCTTACCGCCATCTATTGTATAGTTTGACAACTATCGGACAGGAAATAGTTACTGTCTAGTCCCCTAGATGGCGTTACACGAGGAAACGCGCGTTAAGCGTAAAGGAGCGGTAAAGTTTGTGTTAAAAGAAAAAACATTTGCAAATTAGCCATCGCCCCCCTAAACCACATCAACGTCCCCCTAAACCACTTCAACGTTCCCCTAAACCCTTTCAACGCCCCCCAATCTTCTCTGTACCCTTTACTGCCCCCCCTATAGGCCTCCAGCGCCCACAAGGGGGCGTTATAGCCCACTTTGAGATATATTGTCCTAAATGGAAAGCTACCATGCAAAGTCGTCTCTGAAATTTTCCTTATATCACCAAATGATGGCTTTAGATAATTGTTTTCATTTGAACTCAAATTTATTGATGGTTTTAGATACGAGGGCTGTTTAGAGGAGCTGCAGCTTCCATTCCACGTGCCGCTGTAGGATCAGTTTCGCAACTGATGGGATTTGAATATGCCAAACAGTATTTACTCGAATATCAATATTTCAGAGATAAAAAACTTCTCACTGCCTTTTGTGGTAGCATGGTCGGAGGTGTAGCAATCAGTGTGGCCATGACGCCATTCGATCTTATCATGACAAGACTCTACAACCAACGTAAGTAAAAATTGATAAATAACCTAGAAGGAAACGGAAAATAATTTTGCATGAATCTCTCGAAAATTAGAAGATTTTTGTAACACTTCGTTCACAGTATAAGTAAGTATAAATACCAATCTTATGTATGTATTTAACGCTTCGATCAGTGAGAAGGTCCGTACGAACCTTTTACAATATTTGTGAGTTCATAACTTTTTGTTATCATGCCCTAGAAACGTGCCGCTACATGTATTTCATAAAAACGACATGCTGAATCAATTGGAATGGTTTCAATACGATTCACGCTCCGGTTCCATTTTTTCTTTTGTTTTAAGCCATTTTCGACTCAAACGCAGGTGGACCTTATATATGAGAAAGGGGTTACTGTGGAAAAAACTGTTGAATGTGTATTTGAGCCAGATACCAGCTAGGTACCAGCCACAATCTTGTGAACATGGTTCTGAATAATTAAACTGCACGGTACCAGCGTTTGACTGAGGAAGAAAAACGTATCGCCGATTCAAAATGTCGGGCTTATGTGGATGTTGAAATGACGGCGATAATGACACAGACCTTACGTATCGGCCAGAAAATGATATGGATGTGTCCGATGTTGAAGTTGAAGGAAAGATAAAAGTCGATGTCAATCAATTGCAGCGATTGCTGCTCTTCCTCATGTTGAGACTGATGCAACTTACTTTATTACAAAAAATGGTACGAAACGGTACAAATATCCTCCATCGAGCAGTCGTATACGTGCTCATAATGTCATCGACTACAAACAAAACAAACTAGGACCATCGAAGAAGATGATTTATGATTCGCTTTCAATGTTTCGTTCTCTGATCACCGAAGATATTGCTGAAATTATCATACGCGAAATGACTTGCAAGGCCAACCAGGTAGCCGCTACATGAAATCAAAAAAATTATACCAAGCAGAAGCAATGGAAACCATTGACTCTGAAAGATTTTGACGCGTTCGTAGCGATTATTTTGTATGCTTGGCTGATAAAATCCAACACCACCAAGCCTGTAAGGGAACTATAGGGCTCAACTCATGCTCCAATATTCAAAGTTGCTTTATGACATGATAATTTTGTGTCAATTGCAAAATTCACTTGCCAAGCACCATCGATACAGTAACAACGTAGAATGCAAATACAGTTTTTGCAATAGTTTTGTGATTCACGGATATTTTACCTGAATCAACCTTTTCTTGCCATACCACTTATAGTTAACGCGTCTATATCATTCAGGCACTTTATACATACTGAGCTACATACACATACTCATGTAGGCACACTTTTAGGACACCTGTATACTTATCATCCTTGTGACCTCAGTCACAAGGTCTCCAGGTACCTTGTTCTTCAGTTTACCGCTCGCGGGACAAAATTGACAATTGATCAAATTCCTTCTCCTGAGGATGCTAACTTTGTTGGTGAAACGCGCGTCGAGTGCAAAAATATCAGTTTGATGTTAGGGCAATTGATCTCGAAAAAAGTTATTCAACTTTCACACCAAAGGTTCCAATCTCATCGTTATTCCAATATCATGTCTCCAGTAACATCGCGTACGAGGCAACTTTGATACAGACATATACAAAAAAATGCCTAGAAACTTTTCCAAATCTTGGGTGGAAACTGTTACTGGTTTATAAATTAGTTTGATTCCTTATATGGGCCAGTGATTCATTTGTGAAGAAGTATTTGAAATAATTGAACGGAGTTTCTAGATCCAATATTTCTTGAGAAAGATCAGTTTCACCCCTGAACAGTAAAGAACCGGAATCAACTACCAAATGTTCCTTCTTCCAAATTATTTTGTTTGATTCTTTACTGACCCCTTTTGATACTTCATTCACTGGAATTTCAGCTTCAGCTTCATCTTTTTCTCTGGTCTCATGTCCAACATCATGTGCGAAAGTCGTTTGCTATACTTGAGTATTTGAGATTGTGTTATATTGTCATGATCATCATTTTCCATATCACTGCTATCATCCTCAGAATGCGGAACATACGCTGGATCGACTAAACTATCGGTATCAGAAAAATCCTCGAATTCATCATCACTAAACGCCCAATTATTAGCAATGTCGGCTAGTTCCTTTTCAGTCAACGGTTTCCTTCTACTCGACATCTGAAACAATAACAAAATACCAAGTTTATGTAGCAATTCCCATGGTGTTGCAAATTTACAACAGTTTTTTTAGGTTACTTGATTTTTTTTGGTGTAGAAATTTGAGCAATAACATCATGTTACTGTAAATTACATACCTTATTCAATCCAATTTCACTTGGCAACAAATGAATTCACAGAAATAACTAATATAATCGGGTAACAGAAACATGTGCACTGTCACTAATGACCACTTCCCGCGTTTACTAAACCCTTACTCATGCCAACTGAACCAATGCGTAGGTATGTTTCAAACTTGCAATAACATGACTAGTGAATTGGAAGATAAAAAATGGTCTTGTTGCAAATCTGCAACAAGATGAAACGAAGGGTTAATTTCACTTCATTTTCAAAAATATCACATGTTTGGCTATCACAGTAGCTTTTTAGTAAGTACTAATGGATCTTCATCAAGTAACGGCCGAGTCAATCAGAAAAAATCCATGTTTTTTAAGATTCTATAGGCAATATGTTAACAAAAAATTTGTCTATGAATACTTTGCCTATTTGAAGTAGATGCATGAGATTTCACATTAGAAGGACATATCTTATTTTTGTGATAACAACTAATGAATTTTGTAAATATTATCGGTTGGGACTTTCAGATCTGAAATCTATGGAAGAAACATAAATGAATAATACTAAAATTAACCAAATCAAACAGAAATAATGTCAAAAAGTTCACAAAATTCGAAAAAATAATAAAAGTTAAAAGTGTGAGAATGCCAATTTGTAAAAAACAATTTATTGTGACAAAAAATAAATGAATGAATGAATGAATGGGTAAGGCAATGAGTGGAATATCAATTATTTTTTATCTCTTTCATTTTTATTGTTCACGTGAAATTAACATTCAACCCAATGTTTATCCTATCATTAATTCATTTTCACTCCAGGTCACAATAATTTGTTTTTTTCATAATTTTTCTTTTAATTTTCTAATTTTTTTTTTCATTTTGACATTTCTGTTTGAGACAACTAAATTTGGTATTGTCAATAATTTTTACATTGCATTTATTTTGATTTTATTTTTTCATTCATACATTTCGAATTTTTTACCACCTTTCAAGCAAAAGAAGTCCGAATCCGTAACATTCACCATACAGAATAATAATATATTTAGTCTGTGAAAGTGAACTAATGACTAATGTGACAAAAGAAAAAAGTAAGAGTAATGAGATATATAAAAAATATAAAAACGCGTATTTGGTATATAATACGAGTATTCGAAAGTATTTCAAAACTCTCAGTCCAAATTTAGCCCAGATGAGCCACGCTGGGGTAAATATAAAATACTAGCAAATATCAGTACAGTAATTATTCTAGTAGTGCGAAAAGTTATAGTTGTGTGAAATTGAATAAACATTGAAAATGTGTACTCTCGTTTGCAAAACGATCTTCAATTAAAAACTATGTAAGTGGAAACCATGTGAACATTGTAAAACGGAATGTTCTTCGCTGGTTGGTTAGACGTTTCTGGAAAACGCATTGCAGGATTTTTCTGAAAATTTCACATCTTACATTTCCTTATCTTTTCTATCGATCTAAAATATTTTCAGCATTGCGGCGTTGCCGATCCTATCAAAAAGACCTAGCATCTTACATATATCTAAATCATGAAGTTTTCTTAATGAAGTCTGGAAACATTATTTTTTTCAAGAATTTGGTTTAAGGTAGCAGTGAAAGCTTTTAACAGTTTGGTTACTTTCATAAGTAATTTACAAATACCTAGTTATCGACGGTGTTTCAAAATATCTTCCAAAATGAATGCAAATATTGATTATTCAAACGAATATCTGAAATTATTTATACCATAAACGTCTAACCTAGCATTCACCGTGACTCACGCTGTATCAAATGTACCGAATTTATGTAACCAAGAATTTCAAAGAGACTGCTATTGATTGAATTTGAACCAAAAATTTTTTAATTGAAGGACAAGTGAGTGGTCCTAACAAAAAAACAATACTATCAAATTTCTTGTTAAAACCAATAGTTGGAGCTTTCTGAGCTGCATTTGTAAATAACTAATTTTTCAGCTACCGATGCAAGTGGAAAAGGAAAACTTTACTCCAGTTATATGGATTGTGTATTGAAAATCTACAGAAGTGAGGGTAGCGCTGCTTTCTACAAAGGAGTTGGGCCGATGTATCTTAGGTTAGGTCCCCACACCGTATTATGTCTGGTGTTTTGGGATCAACTAAATGCTCTTCATGCGAATTTTTTCACCTTGAAAAACTGAAGAAAGAAATGAAGACAGTGTTATTTATTAGTCATGCATAATTTTAAATGTAGTCCTATGAGTTGTTTTGAAACATAGACATATGTAAATGCGATCTGATTCAAAGAAATTCACCTATGGTGAATTTTTATAAACTCTCTATTTTATGAACTGCAAGGGTTTCAGTGTATTATAAATGTTAAACATGAGGTGATAAAAATTGCAAATGTGAAAATGTATAGATACTATTATAAATTACTCGTATTCAGTGATTACAATTCCCCAAAATGTCATAAAATAAATTATAACTTCGAGTTTTACTATACGACAAGCACTGAAGGTAATTCGATCGTGAACTAGAATAATGTACACAATAGCTGATTTGTAAAATGATTAGTTGAGAATGAATTGTGAAAATTATATATCTATTTTTATTTCGAGTAGTCTTCTCCGAAACTATAGAAAATGCTCATATCTTCAATTTTTTTCAACAGACTATTTTAGATATATGACGTACATGATTACAACTCATTTTTGAAATATACCAGGGTGTCTAATTAGCAAGATTATTCAGTGGAGCAAAAATAAAACATGTCTTTTTTTGTGTTTTTGTTTCGCCTTTGAGGGTCCTCGCTATGATATTTACTTCTACCAAAAAAAAGTGTTCATTAGTACAGCAGCTTCAAAGCCCTAGTACATTTCCTGACAAGTCAAAATGCTTGTAGGAGAGTCTATAGTGCCATTCTGACCAGATTGTCCGGCCAAGAAGTGCGTAGGGACCTTCATGAATGAAATGAATTTCCCAACAGTTTTCTGCGTCGATACTACAAAACATCTATGCTACTTTCATCATTCAATGATTTAATTCATTGAAAACTAAGATTAGAATCTCTGGCTTCAGAATGAACAAAAACACTTCTCCTTTTGCGCCAATGTTTACGTGCACCAACATCTCCTGATGATACCAACTTGGTTGGTATCATCAGGTGAAAACACAAGCGTATTACGCAGTGATCTTGAGTTTGTTCTGACAGAAACAATTGTCCAATTATTCTCTCGATAGCATACTGTAATCATCAATTAAATCATCATAAATCAATTAAATATGTATTCTTTCAATGATATAAAGGGGTCATCATCTCGAATGCGACACATTGTAGAAACTTATTTACTATTACATTCATTCATTAAATTGACATACATCTCTGGAGTGGGAGTCACTTTATTTGACATAGATTTCTTGAATACGATTTAGATCAATTTCGTTAAAATCAATATTTAACTCTCAATCTACAATAATTCCAACATTATTTTGAGTGACGAGTAAATTTAACTATTAGTTGAAATTTCGGGACTGTGATCTATATTGTATACCCACCAAGGTATACAATTTTCAAATTCTGGTCAGACAACATTAAAATCACATCGCTTGCTATATACCATTTTTCATGTTGCAGATATAAGAGGTGCAGATACCATATTTTTACAGAAATGTGGTGTTTGCCAAAAAAAGGTACATCGTGTAAGAAAACAAGTTTTAGGGAAAAACTTGAAATAACGCAATCGAGAAAAACATGGAGAGTCAAGATCTATTATGCTCGATATTTCTGAGGCCTTTGACCGTTTGTGGCATGAGGGTTTGCTGGCCAAACTTTGATGCTACGGCTTGTCGGATCATTTTTGTGTAAAGCTCTCCAGCTTCCTGAAAGAACGTTTCCTGCAAGTGGCCGTCGATGGATATCTCCCAAATAATTTCACAATCAACGCTGGTGTTCCCCAGGAATCCATATTGTCTTCAATCCTCTTTTCATTGTATATTAACGACTTATTGTAAAAAACGAAGATTCCAGTATTATGCTTTGCTGACGACAGCACACTTGTCTAGTCATTCCATTTGGAATCTGGGACATCCGCTGCGGATGCAGCAGCAGGAGGTTGCATATCTTAATCAGGATCTAGAAGTGATTTCGAATTGGAGTGAAAGTAACCAGGTTCAATTCAATACCACAAAAACCCAGGCATCGGTTTTAACCAAAAAGATAAATGTCTCCGAAACGGATATAATTACGGAACAGACAATTCCCCTTTCTGCTTCGATACGTTTGTTGGGTATTAAAATAGACACCAATGTGTCTTGACACAATCATGTCGCTGGAATTGCAAAGGCTGTTCTGAACCAAAACACTGTACACACCTCAGCAACTTTGATGCTTCATAAAGCTCAGATCAGCCTCCTTTGGAGTATTGTTCTCATGTATGGAGCTCCGCCCGTAAGCATACCGTGAAGCTGCTGAATTCCATCCAGAAAAGAGCCATATATGCCTGATTGGAGACGCGAACATCATTTGCAACCTTGATAGTCTGGAACATCAAATAAAGATTGGAGATTTGTCTCTCTTCTATAGATACTTTCACGGGAAGTGTTCAAGTGACTTGGCACATTTAATTCCACCAAAAGCGGTGCATATAAAAAATACGCGACGGACTGTGGCTGCTCATCGTTTTGAGGTTCAACTCAGTACACCTCAAACTTCACTGTTTAAAAACTTCTCATTTGGAGAGCTGCGTTTATGTGGAATGAACTTCCTGGTAACGTTTTTCAAAATGGATATAATCTCCAGCGATTTAAATCCAATGTGAATCGTTACTTTCGCACAGACATCGGTCTTAAAGCGCCTTAAGGATTTTCCTAAAGTGCTTGTGGTTTGTTAAAAAAAACTGCTCAGTTTGTAGAGGATTTCAATGATACATCTCGTATCAGCATCGAAGAATATGTCGTACTTGTACCTGTTTATTTTTTCAGCGAATGGTTTTGAACATACGATTACCAAATAGAGGTGTAAATAGTTATTTATTATACAAGGGAGTGAGTTTGATAAAGTTCACGTGAAAGAGACTGCTTTCAAGTATCCAAAATCATCATTAAGTCAAAACTAATTTTTTACACACTATGTAGGTACACACGGCAAATACCACGGTTTTAATTACTCCATCGTGTTTAGTTTGCCAATGATCTCTAATGAAAAGAAGTAAAACCTTTTTCATCGGTACCTATTCCATTCTGATTATCTAAAGTAACTTCAGAGTTGATGTTTTAATGTTACCATGACAATACTCGTATCAACAACATTTTAGTTAATGATCTGACAAATGTATGCAGTAGATAATGTACGTAGTAATAAAATATTACCAACAAATGTATCAAAAGCTTTATTCAAATATTTAACTATCCCAATCTTTCAAATGAATATGAAAGGTACAGTTGGTTTTTCTGAAATATGGATACTTTGGTTCTTTAAATCTGAATTAATGCTGCTCAAAATAATAATGCCAATATTTTCTAAAGTCAATGAAGTTGTACTTCAAAGAATGCCACTTCTATGTTTGAAACGTTATTCTTATTACTAATACTCTTTTCGAAGTAATATATCGACACAGCTACTTGTCGGTTGATGGAGTTATGGAACTTTATTAAAGCATATAAGGGTGTGTGGGAGTTGTTTTTCTGTCCGGCAAAATATTCTGAGATACACGTCTCATTCATAACCTTCCATGATAATGTAATCACGAAAAAAACACCCCATCGACGAATAATTTGATGGAGTTATTGAATTTTATTTTAGAAATGAATTATTCAGTTCAGTTTGATCGTTTAACAGAAATTGAGAATTTTTGACTTTTTTTATTTCCATACTCTCTCACAAGTTGAGTTTTAAACCTCTCTTCTGGAAATGGAGGGGTTTGAGTTCATGGTTGAACTCATGTCCCTCTGTAATTAAATGAGTGACATATGTGGAATTTATAAGTTTTTAACGTTAGATGTTTTAATTCGGAACAGACCATCAAAGAAAAAGAAGGAGAGAAAAAACAGTTAACTATTTTCGCATAATAAGTCCATTGACTATATATCAATCTTACGAACACCGGTTTCACAGAAGATGGAACTCGTTTATTGAAAAAAGGACTCAATTGCAATAATCAACCCAATGTAAATTCCACAAATTCAAGGAATGTTGGGAATTAATACAGATATTGCGTTGATGGGGACATGTTACGCCAATAAACATATTGCTACAGAAATTTTAAAATCTGAAAAGATGCATGAAGGTAGGTTCAATGCGGAATTGAAATTAGTTAAGTCTATAAAAAAATCGGCAGCGAATGAAATTCTTTTTGCGCGAACTGGATAAAGGCAAAACGGTCACATCCTCCACAGGCTGTTGATTACAAAATAATACAATGTTTCTTCTGGTACGATCTCGCACGCTCTCTGCCGACAATCACACCCGGCTTCTCAACAATATGTTTAGATTGATTTGCTATTAAATTCAAATATAAATAAAATAATAGTATCTAATAAAATCAAACTCGCTATATACGCTTTGTAAAATATACACGAGTGTGGCAGTTTTTTAACACGAAATAGAAGAACTTTATTGGATAGTGCATTATAACTAGTTCAATTGCATTCAACTCCATATTCAAACCAACTGCCGTTCTGAATATGCAAAAAAATTCTCCCTATGCTCAATACAAATAATTGATTTTATTACTTAACGGATTAAAATACTACATGTTATGTTTGCTTGCTATTTCGATAAAAGATTCTATCTTTTGTTTCAACATATAGTAAAATGATAAGAACATTATTTCTCATGTAAATTTCATACCTTGTCCAGATTGTTTGTCGAACAGTTTGAAAAATATATTAAAAGTATACTCGGTGATGGAGTTTTTGATAGGCGGTGCTTCGTCGATGGGAGCAGTGTTTTTCACAAATCCATTAGAAGTTTTCAAAATTCGTATGCAGCTACAAGGAGAGTTAAAAGCCAAAGGAACACATGCCGTACATTACAAAAATATTTTTCATGCTTTCTACACAGTCGTTAAAAATGACGGAGTTTTGGCTCTTCAGAAAGGACTGACTCCTGCTCTCGCAGTACAATTAATATTGAATGGAACAAGATTGGGTAAGCCAATAATTCTTGAATGATAAAGTTAATACAACACATAGTATATCAGTTTTAAAACTGATATGGTACAAATAAACATCTGTTATAATTTAAAAATTGCTACATCGTGATATATATAAAATAAAAATCGTTATAAGGCTCCGGTTCATGTCGTCTATCTGAAAGAACAAAAAAATACAGAATTTACACGCTTCATATCTTACGATAACATAAATAACATTATTATAAATTCTGTTAGATTCAACAATCAGAAAAAACTATAATCATTTCACCAATAAATCTAATTTTATAATGGAACACAAAGAAGTGATGCTGAAGTGAAGAAAACTTATTAATTGAAAGAACGTTTTGATATTGTTGCTAGAGAATGTATAAAATTTTATAAACTGATGCTAGCATATCATCATCATTTGACAAGATAAAAATTTATATCAATTGGCTCATGAAATTAATTGAATACATATTGTTTTCTTGGGTTTTTGGATCTTCCTTTGAATAAAATCAAAATAGTTGAAAAAATATCTTATTAAAAGCGTACTACTCTATAAGTGAGTATTTGGGAGACACAGATTTTAACTGATTTTATATTTTATGTATGCATGCATAATTTCATATTTTATATTTAATCAAA